GTGTGAAGGCAGAGCAGATGAATAGTCTCACAAATCCTATTTGCTCCCTCGGAAAAATGCAAAAATATTTGCGAAAAATAACGATTCCTGCTCATTGCCATTCCAATTTAAAAGTCAAATTAATATTCATGATTTCTGAGTGCACGGTGGTTTTTACTGGGAGGCAGAAGGGGCAGATACAATCAGCAAACAAATGTGCTTTCAAATGCACACAGAAGGCAGTACCTACCTAGCCACTCGTTGAATTTTTTTACTTCACTAGGAAGTCCCAGCTCAGTAAAATCACCAGCATGTATTAACACATCTCCATATGGCATTTGGATGGGATCAGTTCTGGAGTGAGTATCAGAAATACAGACAAATCGTGTATATCCTGGAGGTTTGGGAGCGTCGTGGGGCACCGGATCGACCCTGTAGGAAATGCATCACAACAAGGTTAGGAAGTATTTACGTACTTTTCAGTGTCTGCTTTGCAATCCCAACACTGTTTTTTTTACCTTTACAGAAGATTACACAGACCTCTGAGTCTGCCTGATGGAAGGATTTATTAAAACAAACCTAACACTAATGGGAGGTGTAAAAATGCTTGATGTTCACAGCACATTTTCAATGTTTTTTTGGTAGATAGATTAACTTCAAGAGATTGGGGAAAAAAGATTGGACTATGGCAGTAACTCTGACACAAATACTTACAAATAAATCAAAGGCATTGCCAGTTTCAAAGGAATAGCACTATCCCATTTCATTGTTTAAACATGATTACACGGTACGCAGGGAGAAGATTTATTTTAGATACATAAATCCATTTAAATGCAGTTTTTTCTAATTAGAACTTTTTTTTTGCCCCCTGCAAGTTACGTAATTCTAGCAAATTTAATTAACACATTTTGGAGATATGTTTGAGCGTGTTAATGCAAAGCAACATAAGAACTCTCCCAACAGCTGTAAATGTACATTAAAGCCTCAGTATTGTCAGGACAAATGTGGTGACTTTCTGGGCTTAATTATACTAAATGAAATCAAATGCTGTGAGGGGTGAGGCTGCATTGTTCAGAGCCCAAAATCAAGATTCAGAACTGAGGGAACGAAAAGATCTGACCCAGTTTGATGAGACCTGCTCGTGATTTAGAAGGGGAAAGCTGAGAACACCTTTTTTAAAATCAATCTTTTTAACCTCAATCCATATTTTGTTGGAATACACAGAAGGAAATGTATCCATATACAGCTATACTGTGTCTGCTATTCCAGTTAGGGAACTCTGGTGGAATAAAATCCAAAAGCCAGAGGTGCAAGAGTTATATTTGTGCCACCAGAAACCAGAGAGATATACAGAGTTGTTGTGAACTACTTTACTTCTGCAACATTTATTTTGAAAGGACAAATAAAATTAGTTTTGTTCACTGTTGCAGTATATAACACAGATTTCTACCTCTTGCTGGTTGTGCTTGAATTCAGGAGCTTACTTTTACATAAACAAACTCAGAAAAAAATAGGATATTTTTGCTACTAAGAGTACTACTTCTGTTCCTAAGTAAATTTTTAAAAGTCATAAGATAATAATCTTTAATCACTCCATCTTTCCTCTATGTCAAAGAATTCTGTGAAATTTAGAGGCGTTTTCGACAACCACACAGGATGGGTGAGAGATTGAGGAATAAATCTAAGACACTCAATAAAAAAAGGTCTTTGCATTTTCTACAACATAACTTCAAAACTATAGCATAAACAAATTATTCTGCACCCATACCTTTACAGGAAGAAGAAATGCTGGGGTTTTTTTTAAAGCAATACTGGAGAAACAGCCTTTTGGTGCGAGCACCTTGTAGTTGTCTTTCTGAAGTTCCAGATTTTGAGCAGAAAAGTAATTAAATATGAGATGAAGAGCAAAATCAGCTGGGATTAAATCCTACCTAATGAATACCCAGATATGCAAGCAAGGACCCACTGGGAACTGCAAAACTTGGCTGACAAAGAGTATAATATTTGGACCCTGAAAACACTTGTAGGGCTGGGGGAGCGCGTGTGCTGCGAGAGGACCACGTGCTTTTTTTCCTCTAGTTTGGATGGGCATGGGGAAGATGTGGACAGCATTTTCCTGGTTGCAGAGGTTGTGTTGTGCAACTTTTCAATTCTGTGCAATAGGCCGGAGAATTTTCATGGGAAAACAACTTCAATGCAAAAAAAAGCAAAAAAAAAAAAAAAAAAAAAAAAAAAAAAAAAAAAAAAAAAAAAAGAAAAGAAGCAAATAAATGAGATGCAGATTTTTCATCTTGAAGTGATATGCACACACTGAGACCGTATATAGGTAAAAACATATGTCAAGTTTCACAAACACATCCAAGTTGTATTACTGGAAATAATTTCTGAAGGCTCAATCCCCATATTCTCGTGTAACATGTTCCCACAGCAGCTGTCACACCAACACCCAATGCACAGCTTGCAGCGTGAGCAGAGGAATACAGATCTGTTGATTATTTTTTTTTGTGCAAATGCTTTTGTTTTTCTTTAAATCAGCACGAAAACTTGCGAGAGAAATTGAAAAGCTGAGCTGAAAAATCTCAGAGCGAAAAAAAAAACACTTCCAGAGGTCGGTTTGTACAGCAGATTTCAGTGGTTTCACACAGGGGCAAGGCAAGGACTTTCCAGAAATGACTAATGGGTTTGCAAACACTGGCAGAATTTACCACCCTTCTTGTCAGTGGCAACCCAGCCATCTCATAAGCACAGGGATGCCAGACTATGACGGGTCTAGAAAGGGCCTAAAGGAGCTAAAATGTGAAAGGACAAATGTGAAACTGCACAGAGGACCAAGGAAGACCTAATACAGAAGAAAAGGAGCACCTCCGTGGCTAAAACAGTTTACTGTGGGCTCAGATGTTAACAGGTCTGTGTGGAACCTCTTCATGGTTGCCCCCAACATCACTAATGCAGGTGTTTTTGAACAAGCACAAAGCCTTCACCTCCCCGAAGTTAAGGACAAAACTTGAGTGCATGTAAACAGGGCCTTCACCCTCGACAATCATGTAAATAAAAGGTGCCTTTGTTCCCCTTTTTATGTCTCCTTCTCCCTTCTTTGTTACTATTCTATTCATTGGAAGGAGGCAAAAGCAATCCCGCTGGTATTCAAGAAACATTATTTACAATTTCTGCATGAGGAGGAAGAGCAGATCAGATCATGGTACACGTTCCAATTGATTTGGTCTCTTTTTTTATTTCTCCAGTAGTATTAATCATTCATGAGAGATTGCTAAACTCTTCTGAGGAACCATTTTCTAAGGACAGCTTATTTTCAACTGCTTGCTCAGGTGCTAAATTTCTATCATGTAGTTGATTGTCCAAGCCCTCCAGTACCGTAATTTCTTTGTGGTTAGAAGTTGAAACAGCGTATTGTTGAGTGCCAAGTGGATACGAATAAATAACTTACTTTCAGCCCAGTAAAAAACATTCGGCTTTTAAGACCAGGAAACAAATTCCTGAGTGCCCAGGAGCTGCCTGAATATTCACAGAAAGCAGCTGAGCCTCGACAAATCAACCTGCATCTGGCATTTTCATCTGTAAAAGCATTTGTTTGTTTGTACTTTTGCTACCATTTGCCAGCTCTATAAATAAAAGATGGTTGTGTGTAGCTGTAATATAACTAACCAGTGCTAACACCCAGCTCACTTTACTGTTTGCAGTTCAATAGGATCTAAAAAACCCCATCACAGACCATAATACACTGCCCCAAAAAACTGAGTGTTTGCTCACCATCCCGACACACGTTACTTTTCAGATTCTTTTTATATAACCTATTTTGTGCCAAATAATGTTCCTAAGCGTTCACTAAATAGACACACAGCGTTCAGTGCTGAGTTTTTTAGCTGCAGAAATCCCATCCTGTTTTGTAAATTATTAAATCGTATTAAATACCAAAAATGTGAACAAGATGTTTATTTGTTCAGTCTTCCTAAAGGAGAGAAGTTCCCTTTAAAAAACGAAAAAACAGCCTTCTGATCTAAAGATAAGGCTGCTTCTCTCTTTAATAAACACAATAAAATGGTGCAGACATTTTTACTCCCTATAAAAATATTTTACAGTAGAATTTTATACTTAATTTATTTGTAATAGCTTTTACTGTTTTGCTCTTCCTTCTGGCTCTAAACTTTATGGCAGGTTTCATTTTGTAATTATAATTCTCCACTTTACGTTACAAGTAAATCATCTTGAGCAGTTAATTTTACTGATGTTGTCATTATATAAGAAGTCAGAAACAAACACAGTATTTTAATCACTCTTTAAGCACTTGGCATTTTCAGCACATCAGAGTGAGAGTAAGTTGTCGGATGGGTGCCCACACTATTTTATTTATTGAGATGATTTTTCCCTTGTATGTAGCTGTAATATAACTAACCAAACAGTGTGTGTTGGACAGACAGGGGCTGGGTGTTTCCAACAGCTCTGTGCATCAATATGCAACCGCACAAAGCAAACAAACGTTATTAAGATTGCAGAAAGTATCATCTCGTGTTTTATTACAACTGCTTGTTGTTCATTTCTCTTTTTAATACCTAAGTATTATGTATTACACTAGTGGAGCAATCTTTCTCCCTCCTTTAACAAAGTACTCTGCAAACGGGCTGATTTTGTATCATCACAGTAATTATTATCAGAGGGGCAGCAGTTCCTCAAATTTCTCCTGACTGCTCCATCAAACACCACATCGACAGGGCGACGCTGTGCCCCGGGAGGCTGCCCTGGAGCAGCAACGGGGCTCAAATACTCACATCTGCACATGTGGGGGCTGGAAACGCCCCTGGTTGATGTTGTAGAAGGTGAAAGCCTGCGTGGGGTTGGAGCTGTACTCATCCACCTCGATGATGAGCCGGCTGTGCTGGTGCCTGCGGGCTGCCATGATGTGCGACTGGGCGAAGGCCATGCTTGCGGCGCGGGGCTCGGCCTCCTCAGGGGATCATGTCTGCTATCTCCCTACGTCCATGGGAGAGCACCAGGACATCTCACCTCAACAGCACAGCCCCCTTGGAAACACCTGAAAGCAGAGGGGAGAGATGGAACGTAACTGTTTTGGGCTGCTTGGAATTTGCTTTGTTCAACGCGACGAAGGCGAAAGGGAGAAAAGGAGGGACAAACGCTCCTCCAAGGACTCAGCACAAACCTTTCCAACCCAGCAACTGGATGAACATGCTTTAGCTGGAGAGCATGGACTGAAAGTAAACTTGCTAAAGAGCTTGCTCAAATACTTCAGACATTTAATGCAAACCTGAAAGATGAGACGGTCATTCAGAAAGGGGCAACAAGTGTTTCTCCAACACAATCATTGACTTCCTTATTTACTGCACTGCTGAAGGTTTATTGCCCATCCTCCCACAAAAAAAAAAAAACCTGAAAGTGGCTGTACACCACGAAAATGCCAGTTAATTAAACAAGAACCAGTTCAACCCTGAGATTAGCTCAGTGCTGATATTGCCAAGGTGTGGGTTCAACCCCTGGGGGGGAACATTCACTGAAGACCTGGATTTCAAATCCCTTCCAACTCAGAACATTCTGCGATTTTGTGATTCTGTGAACCAAATCTTCCCAAAATCTGCAGCATTTATTGCAGGGAATCATTGCAAGTGGTTGTTATTTACACCAAAAAACCAGAGCAAAAGGCCTCCTCTGCACTTGCTCCTGGTTTTGTAGTATCACTGAGGGAACTCCTGGCACAAATATGAAAGCCTCCCCCCCTTCAAACACTTTTCAGTCAGCACTAGCCCAGCTTTCTGGATTCACTGGAAAGCAAAGTGATTCCAGGGCTAACACACAGTTAAATGTTACTAAATATTAAAAATGTAAAATCCATACAGGTTTTATGTTTGGGAATAAATTTTTCCCTGAAGGTTATGCAAGTCTAGAACAGCAGCACTGAAAATGGGTAGAGAAAGAGCCAAGTGAAACCAACTGGAATGCAAAGAGTATCCCCTAGAAACAGAAGAAAGTAATTTGAATGTGAATTTTACTTTTATTTCCCAGCTTTAATAAAAAATGGATTATAAGCTATAAAGGTGGGTATTTTTACAGTATAATTTTACATCCTTTTTAAAAGTTGTCTGACTTAAATATTTGCTTTCATGCAAGCAAGGGCTCTTTTCTTCTAGGGAATACAGGCAATTTGCTTCAGAAGATGTATTTCATAAAAAGCCACGCTAGAATGCAGCAATTCACTTAATATGTGCGGTTTCTGGAAAGCAGGATGGGAAGTATTTTCTGCGACCTTGCTGATGTGCCTTACTTCCATTCTGAGGGGACCACTGCCAAGAGTGATGGATGAGGGAGGCCTTCATAGTCGCTTGAAGTTTTAAAGCTATTTACAGGTACTTAGGTCCAATTCAGTTTTAGTGGCAGTCAAGCACCTAAACATCTTTATAAACCCGGGCTTCAGTCCTTTCCTTAACTACTACAGAGGTTGAGCGCTCCAAGAAGTGGTGGCATGTTTTTGTTTGGGGAAATCTCGTTCCCGGGGAGCTGAAACGAGAGATTCCGCTTGGTTTTGTTGGTGGCTGAATGGCTGTAAAATGATGACAACTTGCTGTCACTAACGAGCCGCAGGAAAACAGCCGGAGAATAAAGGAGCGGATTCCTTCATGCCCTTCCCTAGAACTGAGGGGTAAGGAAATGCTGGAATGACAGCGGGGAAAGATTTGGGATTTCAAACACAAGAGGCGCCACAAAGGAATGTGCCAGAGCAGGGGGGAGGGAAGGGAGGCACGATGCTGGTAAGAATACTCAAGTACAAATTGCTGCATTTAGGAAATAAGAAATTATGACAGCAGATGTGGAGAACCCTCCCCGAGGATCTTCCTGTATTAAATGATGCATTTGCAAAGAAGTTTGAATAGGCAAGGTCAGAGATTTTATAGGGGGCAAACTGTTCTAAGTGAACCCACTTCTGGTTTGAAAGAAACTATTAGAA